TTCTTCTGGTTTCTTCTCCTCTCCATCGCTGGGTATTTTCAAATTCTTCTCATTTTTTTCCATAAAGTCTCGTGCTTTCATCGGGGATGTTATATTATATCTCTGTGTGTCAATCCGGAAAAAATAACACTTCTGGTGTTAACCATCTATATGTAATTCCATTTTGTTGGAGTAGCTGTGCCAGAGAGGAACTATTCCTTTCTTCTCTGTCTCACTTGCCATGGAATTTGTTTTAAGACATTAATTTTCTTATCTTTTATTATCAATTGTTCATCTTGTGACGCCCTTATCCCTAGTTGCCTTCTTCATGAATCTCATATGAACTTATTTGGGAAGCTTATTTTTTCTAACATATGCTGTACGCACTCTGAAGGATGCTTCCAGACATTGGCGGAATTCTGCTACATCCATCTCTATTTCCGGCGCCAAGGCTTCACTCATTAATGTCTCTAAGTCTTCACCTTCCTTTTCTGATACATTTTGAAATCTTAACATCTTAGTTGCTTTTTCCATCTCTAGCATTATTAGCCTGTCCTCACATTGCCTTTGATTTCTCTGTGTCAGTTGTACTGTTTCTTCAGTTCTGTCCAGCCTGGCCTCTGTACTTTTTACTTTTCCTTCTATATTTTGTGTTTTCGTTTTAATTTCTGTTACCTGCTGCTTTGTCTCTGTCTGATCTGCCTTCATGTCCTTCATTTGGTCTGTTATTTGAGTCAAACGCTCATTTATTTGTTGGAATCCTGTAGTTAGGTTTTGCATAGTGGTTTGCCACTCTTTATCTGATTTTTCTGATTCCTCGGAAGTTAGTTTTCCTAACGCTGATATTTGAGCAGGGGAAGTTCCAGGTGTTTGGGGTTTAGGTTTCTTTGCAGCCATTATGGTTCACTACGCAACCAAAATACAAGCCCACTATCAACCACCTCACCTAGGCCTTCCCCAATCTTTACCCAATATTACAGTATATGAATCAGTTTTTAAACTAACACTTTAAATTACAACTTTAATACACCACTGCTCTTGAGTTGCCCACATAGTCCATCAGGAGAGATCCAGGCTAGATAGAGTCCCGAAGACACAAGAGTCAATATTCCACGACTCCCAATATTATTCCCAATATTATTCCAGCAGCCAAATTGAAGCTAAAAAGAAGAGAATCCTGCCTTTGCCATCGATGTTTCCTGTTCTTAATATAAAGTTCTAGCGTTCCAAGGGCTTTTTACCAGACAGTTGAATATACTAGGGAAAACACCATGTACAATCCCACCAGCATAAGAATCAGTGTTCAATGTTCCACAGTTCCCAGTATTATTTCAACAGCCAAGTTGGAACTAGAAGAAAAAAAAAAAGAAAAAGGAAAAACCTTGCCTTTCCCACCTTGATGTTTCCACAGTTCCGTTCTTAATGCAAAGTCTCTAGAGTCCCAAAGGCTTTTTTAAATAAGTCAATTAAATGTACTAAAGTTGGCGTTGGTATTCCGCTTTCCTCCAGTAGGTGTTGTTATCTTCCAATATGCAGTCTGTCTAAGGCACTATAAATCCACAGCTCCAGTCCTGCTTTCCACTACAGTCTACAGCCGTAGCCTCCAAGGGAGGGAGGGTTTCTCCCCCGCGGAGATAAAATATCGTCCCAAAGTCTCAAAAACTGATAATCTACTGTTAAAAACTCTGTCCAATTCTTTATAACATCAACACAAGCTCTGTCCACAATTGTTTAGTTCATCAAGCAGTTTTCCAGGAACAGCTTTATTTTCTTGACTTTGAATCGGTCTGCTCAAAGCTAGTTTCGTTTTCAGATTAGTACATCAGCAGAACCGGTAAGCAAAGATTCGCTGCTTCTATATTCCTTTCGGCCCTTATCTCTTTACCAGTTCATTTAGATTAAGGGCTTCAATTTTGTTTGTTGTTATCAGTTTTTAACAGATTTTAGGAACCATTAAAAAGAGGAATAAAATCACCTCAAAAGGAAAAGTGCTGTGCTGGTCATAAGAACAATTTCAAAATCTACATGAAAATATTTTGGGACAGATTGATTTTCCTCAGACAGCTCAAGGGAGTACTGTGCTGTTCAAGTGTCAGGAGAGATATTAATCTGAAATGTGTCTTGAAAAGTATTCCTCTCACTGATGTGGTAGTTTCTACCATTTTAACCAGATGATTTCTGAAAAAAGCTCAGCACATAAATTGTCAATGTGTGACAGAAGCTGCAGGCACTTTAAGTCACTGAGGATATGGCACTCAAATCAGGACCTCCTGTACATTGTTTGGAGGCCTTTTTGTACCTCCAACATTCTGGGTCCTGAGGCAGAGCAGGCCTTATGAGAAACTTGCCCTCCAACGTGCTGTTTTCTAGAGTTGGCTGACCTCTAGAGTCTGCCAGATATGGCATCTGACCTCCAGCTCATCTATGACCATGGCTTCATCTCCCCACTCTACCAAAATGAATCCGTTTCAGCCAACATCTCCAGTTATGTCACTAAAATCCTGAGATTCCACGGTCTCAGAATCGAAAAACATTAATCTAGGGGGGGAAAGAGACTACACAGAAAGGAGGAGGGGCTGAAAATGTTTCTTGTTAAATGGGAGAGGAAGGCAATACAGCCTGGACAAGGGAGGGTTGGCCCCCTATTCATATATAGTTTTCCTCTGGCTTTCTGAATTCTTTTGCTATTAAGTTGCACTGAGGTCTTGTGCATGCCACTTAAAACTCCTTTTGGGCTAAGTTAGATATGCACACAGCAGGGATGGGAACTTGTGACTTTCTGTCGTGACTTGAATTGGACTTGAATTTTGCCCCAATGACTTGCACTTAACTTGCAACTTGGAACAATTTTTCCAAGTTGCTTGTCAGGTCCCCCTGGTGTCAGGTGAGTGCATGTTTGGCCTGGAACAAGTGAAGAACCAGAGAGAGAGTTAGGATACAAAGATGGAGACCAACAGAACCAGAGGAACTATGGGACTTTGTATTTCCAGCTGGAAGCCCTCATTGTGACAGATTCAACTTGTGCTGAACTAAATTGACAAAAACCATCTGCCGCTGGGGGTAGAGTCAAAGGGATTAAGAAGACCCTGGTACGGAGAGCCTCCTGAGCAAAGCAGATTCCATACCTGTCCACTAAGTGATGGAAGACATGTCAGACCAAAAGCATTTCATACTTCATAATAAGTGATAAGGACCAGGTATCTAGGGACAAGCAAAGGAATCTCTACCACGTATGCCCTGTGAGCAACCTGAGACAAAGAAAGGTTTTTACGCATGCTCTATTATATAAAAAAAACCTGTCCAAATAGAATATAAGGATGAGTCTAGGAGAACATTGGTCTAGTCTGTCTGTTTTGCCTGTTAGCCTGTCTGTCTGCTGAGACCAAAAAGCTTTTGGAACCAACTACGTTCTTTGGAACTTGGACAATGTAGATAAAGACTTCTCTCTCTTTGGCGAGTATGTATGTGGTGTGAATGTGCTGAATGTATGAAACCCCTTTATTTAGAATTGTAATCAATAGGTAATAAAGTATATTCATTTTACATTTATTAATGTGTCTTGTGAGGTCCTTTGCTGTTTAATATTGTTCTTCTTGGGATACAAAAGAACCAGTAGTCACCCTTTCGTGACACTGGTGCCTAACCTGCTCCTCCCACTGCTGCATGCCACTGTCCTCAGAAGCAAGCAGCTGGCTTGGTTTCCTTTCCAGGAGCTAGTCCTGCATGTTCAGAGTCTGAGGGAAGTCAAGCCGGCTGCTTGCTTCTGAGGACAGCAGTGTGCGGTGGCGACAGGAACAGGTAGGCGGGGGAGCAGGGGAGCGGTGGTAGGAAAAGGCAGGCACTGGGGGAGGGGTGTGTGGTGGCAGGAGCAGGTAGGCAGTGGAGTTGGCACTGGGGTGGTGGGAACATCACAGTGGCAGGAGAAGGTAGGCAGCGAGGGTGCAGGAACCAGGCCCAGTGCTTCTGAGCATGTGCAGAGGAAAGGGCCTGCTTGAGGAAGGGAAGCCAGAGCGGCTCCTTCTGCACATGCACATGTCCCCTCCTGGCCTCCATCCAAGACTTGGGACTTGGACATGAGGCCTGGGATGTGAGACTTGGTACCAAAGACTCAGGACTTGACTTGAGTCTTGGTACGAAAGACTCAGACCCAGACTTGGGTCCAAAGACTTACCAACATCCCTGACACACAGTCTCCTGAATTGTTTTTATGTGTACATGGGTGTGTTTATGGAAAATAGTTGCGGGAGGCTGTAAATTTGGTTGAAGGTATAGCAGAAGGAGTGCTTAACCTTTCCCTCTGGTAACATTTTATTTTATTTTATTTTTAATGCTATATCACTTTGGGAGTTTACACTACTGGGAGCTAACAAACTGAAAAGAACATGTAAACAAATAACTGCTTAGCTACCACAACTGGAATTCCTACCTAAGCTTCAGCTAGACTGTGTAGAACAGAAAATTTAAAGCATGTATAATTTGCATGAGAAGCTGTATCTGCTGAAATTCCCTCTTCTGCGCTGCTATTAAAAGTGGAAAGGCCCTATATCCACTTCCATCTGGCCATCTATATTCTCTTTTTGCCTCATATGCTTGAAACAGACCCTTAACTCTATGTCTGGAGAACAGCTCACATGTATAGCCTCAGATTCATGCTGTAGACCATTATTTGTTCAACCTTTACAGAGAAATACATACCTCAGACCATTCTGACAGCTCCCACTGCGGCCCACAAGCTTTGTTCTTGCATGATTTGCGCTCCATTGGCCTGCTTAGTCCAGCTGACTCACACATGTCATCATATACAGAGCTATCAAAGCCTGGAGCCAGCATCTTCCAGCAGCGCACAGTTCGATACTGATAGCCTTCACTGCATGTCCTTGAACATTCACTCCACCTGCTTGTCTCCCATCTCCATTCAACAAGGTCCAACAGCAAGAAAGAGAAAGAGCAACTTCTGCTTAGTTTCAGGTAGCCTGGAAACTATTCATGACAAGAATTGGTTCCCTCAGAGAAAGAATTTTCATCTTCATTAACAACAACAACCATAACAATAACAATAACAACAATAATGTTGTGGGAGTTTTTGTTGTGGGGGACTTGCATACTTCAGTGGGGTTGAGAGCTATGCAGGTAGTAGTGTCGCTACCTGAAGGATCTCTCAAGCCAGACAGGTCTAAGCTGAAAAGTCAAACCAACCGTGTCCACCAGTCATCAATTATGGTGAGAGGAAATAAAGAGAAATCCATACCAGATCAGTTGTCACCTGAGTCAACAAGGACTGCATCAGATACATGGCTCCTGGACATGCACTAAGAAGGAGGTTGGACTCAATGGCCTTATCGCTACCTGAAGGATCTCTCAAGCCAGACAGGTCTAAGCTGAAAAGTCAAACCAACCGTGTCCACCAGTCATCAATTATGGTGAGAGGAAATAAAGAGAAATCCATACCAGATCAGTTGTCACCTGAGTCAACAAGGACTGCATCAGATACATGGCTCCTGGACATGCACTAAGAAGGAGGTTGGACTCAATGGCCTTATAGACA